CATAGTTCTACAAACATCACCAGACTTACACACAATCATTTATATCTATCTATCTATCTATCTATCTATCTATCTATCTATGAGTTGAATTAATTTTAATGATATGATGTATGTCCAGACTGATGGTGTTGCTATGGGTAGACTGTTGGGCCCTATTTTGGCCAATATTTTCGTAAGCTATAAAAAACGTCTTCTGATCGACAAGGTCCATAAACTCTACGTTTATATGAAATATGTTGACGACACCTTCTCACTATTTAGTTCCGCCGGTGATGCCACTAATTTCTTTGTGGAACTTAATTTTCTCCATCCATCACTTCAGTTTACTATGGAGAAGGATGGGGCATTGCCCTTTTTGGATGAACTTGTTGAGCGTAAGAATTCCGTAAACCCACATTCACAGGCTTATACACATGTTGGAATTCGTTTGTTACGAAGGCCCAGAAGATTAATTTAATTTCGACCCTGGTTCATCGCGCATTGATGAGCTGTTCTCATAGTATGTGGGATGGAGAACTTAATAGTATCCAAAAAAGTTTTGAAAATAATGGATACCGCGCCAATATCATCAAACGTGTTATAGATAGTAAAGAAGGTTTTGGGACCCAGTCAGTACCCTATTTATTTAAAATTACCAGGAAGTGTCAGCTGTTATCTGACATAATTTCAGCTCGTATGTTACAATGTTTTTAAGTTGTGCATTTTTTTCAAACAAAATCTGCGTTCCCTTTCTCTAGTAAGGATCATTTGTCCTATTTTAATAAAAAAATTAATGGTTGACAAATTCAAACACCGACGTAAAGCGGCGTACCTGGGACGAACCAGTCTGGGATTGGAGACGCGGATTTCGAAACATGTCCCCGCCGATTTGCGTTCAAGAAGTCGAACCGAAATAATAATAAGTACTCAAACAGTCCACGATTCGTCCTTAGGCAGCTGGACAGCCCAGTCTGTGCTGCCGAATATGAAGACACATGGTTTTCTATTCTACACAGAGCTCGCTCGGTTAACCACATTCGAGTTTTTGAGGCTGTGTATAAAAAATTGAATCAACCGAGCATTTTATGCGATTCTTACGTTTGATCGAGGGACGATGAGTTTTGTTTTTCCATTTTATACTCTTGTGGAACTTGTTAATTATTTTATTAATTATTTAGAATTAAAATTTTAATCACGTTCCAACGTTCCTCTTCTTTCGTTATTATTTATAGTCCGGATTGTTTTGCATTTCGCCAACTATTGCCTTTGAAAAAGTGTAGGTTGAAAGGATCTTAAGTTGTAAAATGATGTATTATTAATGTTTAAATATATATATATATATATATATATATATATATATATATATATATATATATATGTAAGCAAATATATGGATATAGATCCGACAGTATCAAGAAAAATATACTGAAAAACATTAGGATTTTTGTTTGTTTTTCAGTATATATATATATATATATATATATATATATATATATATATATATATATATTTATATATATATATATATATATATATATATATATATATATATATATATATATATATATATATATATATATATATATATATATATATATATATATATATATATATATATTGTAGAAAGAATAATAAATACGTTAAATATATATATATATATATATATATATATATATATATATATATATATATATATATATATATATATATATATATATATATATATATATATATATATATATATATATATATACGCACTTTTTGCACACACACACACACACATATATATATATATATATATATATATATATATATATATATATATATATTAAATAGACTGCAAATGTAGTATTTTTTGAAAGTGTCACATTTCATTTCAGCTTTTGGAAGGAATTAGAGCAGATTTTAAGAGCTCTAAATGTCAATGTTCTAATTAAATTAATTTTACGTTGGTACCGACCAAAGGAATCCCAACGTGTATATAAACCTGAAAAGGTTGCCTTCCTAAAAACTGAAGTCGAAAAGCCATCACTGTTCTTATGGACCAAAACATCTAAAAAGGGCAAACAACAATTCGACCCTTTTTCAACGATGAACATTAAGGTCGTATGAACAGAATTTAGTACGGTGAGAAAAGAGTCAGCTTCACCCTCATCATTAAAGAGGCAAAAAGTATCATCCAAATAGCGATGATATATTGGAGGCCGATTAATACGAGAAAATAATAGGGCCTCGTGAAAACCAATAAAAATGTTAGTGTTATGGTCCGGTTCCTTGTACCACGGAGATAGTAGAACCAATAAAGAAGAACTCGAAGGCGGATATGGAATAACACAGATATATTACAAACAGGAATATATGCAGAGAAGTAGAAAATGTTAGTACGAACAATCAGGTTTAGTAGTAATTGTCTGAACGCGTTTGTTTCGGACTGCCTCTGACTCGACTGACAGACTTCACTCCAGACTTCAGACTGAACAGTATTTAGTCACCGCCCCCACGAGGCCATCATGTGGCACAAGGCCGGTTTGACGTGGGATCTCCGAGCCCGTGTGCTCAGCCAAAAATATGCCCATTGAACCCGTATAAACGAGTTCAGGGTCGGTTTACCTCCCCGAAAGAGACTCCACCCTTCGGCGTAGCCTCGTTCGGGTTCCTCCCCGCCCGTAGGCAGAGAGTTCAGCCAATCAGCCGATCAGCTGGTCGCCTGACTTCAGACTGAACTCCCTGCTTTCTCTTGAGACGCAGTATTTATTACGTATGGAATAGTCCATTATGTTATTATGGGTAAGGTCCCATAACAGTTAGTAAGCGAAGGGCCCAAAGGAGATCCCGTGGCAACCCCGTCAATTTGTCGATACATGATATTATTGAAACTGAATTCAACTGACGAGGTGGCGAGCTTCATCAAATCAATAAACACCCTCCCAGAAAAATCCAGGGGAGACAATGAGGAATGGTATAACATGTCATAACAGATATCTATTGACTCAACCAAAGGGACACATAAATGTCAAAAGAACACATGAAACCACTACTGGGGGGATAATTATGTATGGATTCAACAAAAGAAAAAGAATCCTTAACATAGAAAGAATTAAAGTGTAACAACAAAGGTTGCAACGATATCGACAGCCAACAAGCGGCCTTGTGCTGGGCAGACCCAATCATTGACAAAATAGGACGTAATGGGATACCCTGTTTATGGATTTTAGGGAACCCATACAAACAGGGAAGAATGGACCCAGCGGGGCGAATTACCTCAGAAATATCAGAAAAATGTAATTCATTTCTAACCCACTTTAACAATTGCTTTTGAAACTTAACTTCTATAGAAGAAGTACAATCATGGAACTAAGTTTAAGAACTTGGATGAATCAGTGAGAATACTATCCATTTTCGAAATATAATCGGAATGGTACAGCAAACAACACCGGCACCCTTATCAGGTTTAGTAATAACTAGGTTATTAATATATATATATATATATATATATATATATATATATATATATGTACAGTGTAACCCGGATATAAGAGACCCTGATATAAGAGTAACCCGGATATAAGAGAGATTTTCTCTGATCCCAAAGTGTTCCCATACTTACCTAAACAAAATAGACCAAACCCGGATATAAGAGAAACCCGGATATAAGAGACTTCATTTCCGGTCCCGACAACTCTCTTATATCCGGTTTACACTATATATATATATATATATATATATATATATATATATATATATATATATAGAGAGAGAGAGAGAGAGGGATACATAGATAGATAGATAGATATATAGATAGATAGATGTGAAAATACTAGGAGAGAGAGAGAGAGTATCATGTAACCATAGTGAGAGACATACACGTTTGAGAAAAAAGGATGGGGAAGAGTCAATATAAATCTTTACACGAACAAAAGTTTTGTGATTCTGGCACTAAGGTCCTTAACGTCTATTGGGTTTTAAATTTAGCCCAGTTCCAAAAACACAATTCAGTATGACAAAATCTGCAGGAAAAACTGAATATTATGACAATTCGTTGTTGGTACTAGATACGAAAAAAAAAGAACCAACAATATAGAATAGGATTTAAATTAAATACTTTACAAATTTTCTTTTGTATGAATGATTATTGTGACGTCGTCGCCCGGTCGCAGCGCCAACTGTGACGTTCTATCCTGATCTAACACGGCACCAGTTGTGACGTCCCCAAACAGCACCAATTGTGACGTCCTCGCCGCGGCACCAGCTGTTCGCTCCTCGCTGCTCCGTTCGGGTGTCGCTGCTCCAAACGTGACGTCCGCCTGTCGCGTCGGTCGTGTTGTCTCGTCCTGTGACGACCAACTGGCTTGGTATCGGTCGCGGCACCCAAATGTGACGTTCTAACCTTTTGGTGATTCGGGTGGGAATCTGGTTAGATTTGATATCAGCCTCGGCGTTCCCAACTCGCTTCCAACGCCTGGTTACCAAAGGTAACTGCATTGATCTCAGTCTGCCTACCCACGTTGTGAATTGATCTTAGGCAGACGAGATCAATCAGTAGTCGAACCGTAATGCAAACTGAGTTCAACAGGGTGAAAACACACAAATATGCATAAAAGAAAATAAAATGAAAACTCAAAAGTTCAAAGTATCAAAGAAAAAGGTAACAAACTTTATGTCTAGTTGTTCGATACATAGGATTGCATCTATCTCCCGACCCGTTCTGTGGATTGTGACACGTCGTTTTCCGTTATGCAAGTTTTAACGTTTCAAGTTGTTTGCTCTCCAAGAAATTGGCGTTTCGGTGTGTCTTTAGACGAAAGTCGAAAAAAAAAACTTATTTCGGTGGTCTGGATCTAAGTCGCTCTTCAAAATAATTGTTCTTGGGTTGAAGAGGAGTCCGGAATTTGCGTGAATCTTGGTCAGCTGAACTCACTGGAACTGCTGGAACTCAACTCTGAAACTCAACTCTCCGCTGGAGCCCGAACTGATTCTGCCTGTTGGGGCCTCGCTTTTATGGACGCCGACCAAAACCGGGGTGGGTCTATCGGCGTCAGGGGTTCTCGATAATTCTAAATACATATCCACCTCTTTTATTTCTGGTTAGGGATTTTCACTCTTTTCCATTTTTGGGAACCTTTCCTCCTCCCACTTTCTCACCATACTTCAGAGGGGCGTGAACTGCCCTCCCCACTTCTTCGTAGCAGCTTCTCATACCTATACTCTGGATGAGGCGTCGACAGCCTTCTTCGTGCGTCACGTGATCACCACTTGACCAATGAGGTCTTAGTCGGGCGTGAACGAATCCGCGGCTTTGTTTCGGGAAAAAAAAATATCTTGCTTAACTAAAAAAAATTATCTCTTCTCTTTCCCTTTTCTTCCTCTTAAACGCCGTTATCATTTTTTTAGCCGCAAACGGACAATATGACAACTCTTGTTCTACACGTGGTTTTTATCAGGTATTTTATCGCTAAATCATCAGAATGGGTGGTCTTCTTGACACGGCCTCAAAAAAGAACCATCTCTAAAGTTTCAGTCAGTCTGTCGCCTCCAAGGAAGAAGAAAAAACACTTCTGGGTCCCCATTCATTTTCCTTCGGTACATATTTCTGATAACATAATTTTATTATCGCAGGCCAAAGATCTTTCGTCGAAAAAAAATCGGTCAGCGGACACGGCTTGTGCGGCTTTTAATTTTTCATATCTACCCAAAGTCCTGTAGTTACACCTGTGTTTTGTCAATTATCAAAATTAACATTTTCAATTGAATTTTTCATTGGCCAGTCGACCAGCCGTTTTGTTTACGTACTCCTAGATAACACAGCCGTTATCAAAACACATCTGTTTCTTTCTTTCTTTTCCCTTTTTTTTACTCAGAATTTCCCTGTCATTGTAATGACACCCTTTCGCCATGGTTACTTATCAATATATTCATTGTCTCTTAGCCGTGTGTGTGTTCTGCTCATCACCCGATTCGTCTCGCCTTTCTTTCTGCCTTCTTTTCTTTCTTTTCCTTTTCTGCTTCGTAAATGGTGCCACATTATGAAGAGGAAATATTTATGTTGAATATTCTTGTATTTCAGCTCTGTGACAGTAAGTAATGTGTAAGAAGAAAGTATGTTTTAATAAAAAAAACAGATTTTATTTGATGTCATATGTGTCTAACCTTCCTTCCTAAACATTTTTTGTATCATCACCTATTTTCACATGGAAAGATTTTCCATTTCCCACCTTTATTCCACCTAATATTCAAAAGCATATCAAAATTGTTTATTAAATGTGTGTTACTTGTTCATAAACTGACTTTATGATGGAGTAAAAATAACAAAGGGAGGTAAAAAATAATGTTGAAGAGTTATACAACAGTTAGGGCTATATATATGGCCTGACGATTTCATCTAGCATGAAACAGACTGTCGCCTCTAAGTATTGACTTCTATGTTCACTTTTATATTCAAATATATATATATATATATATAATTAATTTTCATGGTAAGGTTAGTTTTATGATTAAGGCAAGTGTAAACAAATTTGTTTATAATTATAAAATTTAAAACAATATACTCTACTAGCAAGTAATAAAGTTCAGCGAATATTCTTTGCTGTTCTTGGTTTTCCCTTATCTGACATATCCGAAAAAAGGTTATTTCGTCTGAATAACTATTTGTATGTTAATGCCCTTCACAAAACTATAGAAAATATCAAAATATTCGTTGTTTGCGGGGATATTTAGATCTTGACCCTGGTATTCGCAATTAATCAATTTTTTATTGTTGTTTTTTTTATATACAGGTTCTTTGTATATTTCTGTTTGATATTTCTTCGGGTAACATATGTTGAAATATATTTTAATAAGCAAAACCATATATCGACGAAAATAGCATGTCCAATTTCCTCATCATGCTTTTAAATGGGCAAAAGTTCAACTAATACACACAAATATTATTAGCCCTATTATCAATATTATCATTTTGTAACTCATAATATTTAAAAAATAACAACTTGCTCATTAATATAAAAAAATAAACAAACTGTTCTAAACAAAGATCTTTCATTGTTCTCTAAACAAAACTGCGTATATATATATATATATATATATATATATATATATATATATATATATATATATATATATATATGAATGAATGAAGAAATAAGTCTTAAGGTGTGCTATATTTATGAGATAAGCGTATGTAAATATAAATATAAAAGTGAACAGTGAAGTTAACGCTCAGAGGTGACAGGCTGTTTCATGCTAGACGCATTCGTCAGGCCGCGAGTGTTGGATTTTTCTCAACTATTTATACTAAATAATTTATACTAAAAAATGATAAACTGAATAAGATCCAAAGTATAGTATTATTACGAGCAAACCCATGGGAGTAGGGTATGTGATTCATTTGTTCAAGACAATGAGACATTTTCTCTAAGAATACTTGCATTTATTTTTTTAAATACGGTCAGAGAATGGCGAAACATTACAAATATTCCGCAGTTTAATTATTACATGTATATATATATATATTCGTCCAAGCAGAACGACTTCGAATTTGGCTTGTGTTACTTTTGTTTATTTTTAATTGTATTTTAGAATATGTATATATACACACACACACACGCACTCTCATATCTCTCTCTCTCTCTCTCTCTCTCTATATATATATATATATATATATATATATATATATATATATATATATATACTCACAAATACACAAACACACACACATACACACATATGTAATTATATGTCTATCCATAATTGCTTCGTTTCTTGAGACCAAATATTTTGAAAGTTTACCCACATTTTTTGTTTATTTTTAATAATCATATACATATATAATTTAATAATCATATATATATAATTTCATATTTACTTATATATACATATGTAGATACATAATACACACACACCACACATATATGTGTGTTTGTGTGTCTGTGTGTATGTGTGTGTATGTGTGTGTGTTTGTGTATATCCTATTTAAAGTTATTCAGCAAATCATATAAACTTCAATAATTTAAAGTCGGTTTGAAAGAAAATTGCCATATTTTCAACTATGAATTAGATGTCAAAACAAAGCCTGAGTTAAAATTTTAAGCATTATCAATATGTTTTGTTATAGTTATTGAACTTATTTGATATTTTCTAATAAACTGCCGTCTGACGTTATCAAGCAAAACCAAATAATCATATTTTATTTCAATAAAAAGGTAATAAAACCATCAAAAATTAATCAGCAATTAAAATAGAACAAATAACAAACATATATAAGTTTTTGAATCCTTTACATTTTAATATTTTAATCCTTCTTCACAATAATCTATTTTCCATTGATTTTGTTATTTCAGCTGGTTCAATTTCCGACATGCTAGTTTTAATTGTTTCCATTCGGCTTGCATTCCTGTTATATTTTTTGCCACTATCTTATAATTTCATCTTCACAATTAACCATAGATTTTTGATAGGATTCAGATCAGGACTTGATGGTGTCTATTCGAGTATCGTCTCTCTTTGTAAATGTTTTATGTTCAAAGAATTCACGGGTGAGCTTAGATACGCGAGAAGTTTCATTGTCGTATATAAATACACACTTCCTTTTGAAACTGCGAGTCTGGTACTTGAACCAGACAAAGAACATTTGGTTCCATGAAGTTAGAAATATTTTAGTTTCAATTATACATCGACTTTGAATGGTGCAAAAACAGTATTAAACAACATTTACCGGCCTGAATGTCCGAGAAATTTTCATAGAAAATATTCATCCTCCGACAGGATTCGAACCTGTATCCTATATGACTATATATATATTTCATATAGGATATATATATATATATATATATATATATATATATATATATATATATATATATATCAGACTATATGCTGTTTAATACTGTTTATTATAAGCAGAGCATTTACTTAAATATGTTTGGTCGACAATTCAAGCCCACATTATAAGACTACCGTATCCTCGTTGGATTCTTTTAACCACACGTACGTCTGAATCGGATAAAATCCATCCTTTGACTCATCAGGTCCATCAAATGTCACTCAGGATTCATCCTGGGAAATTACTTTAGAAAAGTCAATTTTTATGTATTTCTTGGCTCATTTTTGGCGCTTTAAAATATTTGTTTTAATGAGAGGAGGTTGACTATAAGATTTTTGCAGAGGTCAGTTCAAAAAGTATTCTACAGCTTTTTTTTTTCCTTTTTGATTCCTTCAATTCCAGTCTTTTCAAGAATTTGAGCACTTGTTAAACGTGGTTGTTTCGCCATGAATCGCTTTAGTTTACGTTCGTCTCGAGAAAGCAAGTTATTACAGCCATTTCATTTCCTTCGAATTCTCAACTTACTTATATTTTCAACAGTCTTTTTTTATAATTCCATGATCTCTGCAAATCTCCTTTGATATCTCCAATATGGACATTCCATCACTCAATAACTTTGTATATTAGATGATAATAGATTATATGTATCTGCGAATTATACTTTCAATTGATTTTTCATTCTGTTGATTTTCAGGACGCATCTAGATCAGATAGAATATCTTCGGGAGCATCTGGATCAGATAGAATATGTTAGGGCTCATCTGGATCAGATAGAATATGTTAGGGAGCATCTGGATCAGATACAATAAGTTAGGGCGCGTTCAGACCAGCTAGAATATGTTAGGACACATCTGGATCAGATAGAATATGTTAGGGCGAATCTGGATCAGATAGAATATGTTAGGGCATGTACAGATCAGATAGAATATGTTAGGGAGCATCAGGATCAGATAGAATATGTTAGGGGGCATCCAGATCAGATAGAATATGTCAGGACACATTCGGATCAGACAGAATATGTTATGGAGCATCGAGATCAGATAGAATATCTACGGGAGTATCTGAATCAGAAAGAATATGTTAGGGTGAGTCTGGATCAGATACAATAATTTATAGCGCGTTCAGATCAGATAGAATATGTTAGGACACATCTGGATCGGATAGAATATATTAGGGCGAATCTGGATCAGATAGAATATGTTAGGG